TTTGTTTTGTGTATTTTTCGGCTGGCAATTTATCACAAAACAGCGAACAAAATCTAAAGAAAATAAAACAATTTCAAGCCTATAATTTTGAGGCAGGCAAAATAACAATAAATGTGTACGGCAAACAATAATTCATAATAAATTGTCATTTGACGTGTTTGAAATGTATTGGCAATTAAAAACGCAATTGAAGCGAATGGAGTGAGTTTGGAAGGGCGGGACAGATCGGCGCTCCTTGGTGCAGTGAATCGCTTTTGGGAGTTGTATATATATTTATGAGTAGCAGCAATCTTTGGAGTTCATGAACTCCCCAATTTTGGGTGTGTAGAGTTTGGTCATGATACTCCAACCAAATCAAATCAAAGGCAAGGCAAGCGGGTCAACAAAAAAGACTAAGGCTAAAGTTGAACGATCAGTGGATTTAAAATGATTTAGGGCTTAAAAATCAAATCTTAGATTTCTTAAGAAGACAACATTTTCTTTGTATTCTTCAGAACTTTTTATACACTTGCATGTTTAAATTTGTAAAAAAAATATATATTTGGTTTTTGTATTATTTGCTTATATGGCATTCCATTTCCGCTGAAGATCACCAACTGCCCCTATATTATTTCCATTTTTGTGTTGTCTCTCAAAAATGCTGATTAAAGGTCTTTTTTCTGTCGATTTTCTTGCTGATTCCCGTTGTCCCAGGTCCGCCCATTCTCAATTTATTTGTTGTTTTTTTTTTGTTGGTCGGGTTATGCTTGCCCCTTATATTTTTTTCGGTTTTTTTGGAAGTTGCATGTTTGGGGACTGAAGTTGAGTGCAGTTTGCTTAGGGCGTACTTAAGTACCGTTATTTTAATAAACGCCGTTTGCGCATGCGCAGCTTGAGTTGGCCCTGTTTCCTCAGTTTTTTCGGGCTACTTTTTCTGTGTAGCCAAAAAAAAAATTTCTTCACATAAAAGAAATTGAATTACTGCTGATGGCAAAAAGCTAATTTTTCTTGCTTCAAGGTTTTTGTTTTTGCAATAACTATGGATGCTGATTTAAGGGGAGAAGGAGAGAGGGGTGGGAGTAAAAGGAAGTGCCTCATAAAGTATGCCATTTGTTTTTCGTAATATTTATTTACTCTGTCCATTGCATAGAAGCTTTGATTGTTTATTTTGGCTTCGTTCTGTTTGTCGCTTTTTGCATAAACATTTATGCAAATGTCAAATGCCTAATTGACAGACAAGAGCCAAGTGCTTGCCTTGCCTTTTTTCTAAAAAAAAATAAATAAATAAGAGCCTGGATTTGAGTGTAACAACTATCAGCTACCTGGTGTTTACAGCCTTGATTCAAATAAAAAATCAAAGAATAAAGAATAGTATATTTACTAACTTTTTCTGTAATTATTTTGATAATCACCCTTCGAAACTCTGTATTGTTTTTAATAGTTCTAAGATTTAAGGCTTTTTATTTGTCGGTCCTACACTGCAGCCTATATTTTTCCATTTACAATATACCCTTCTATTCCATGGCTACCCAAGTATAAAATCCATGACAGTGACCAGGCATTGTCTATGCTGGCAGCAAATTACAATTTACGATCGTCGATCAGCAAATCAGTGCTGCCATCACTCAGCTTGAAAAACAGGACAGATAAGCCACAAAAAACAGGGAAAAAAAGGACAAAAAATTTAAGAAAAGGACAAAAAAGGACAAAAGTAAATGTGCCTACATTTTTCTGTTTTTACCAATGGGTTAAATATTTACTTAATATAAATGGATTTTAAATAAAATTTAATTATGTAATGATCGACTGCGCCCGACTCACAACCTTCTTTGTTTGATCATTTTACCATGGTAAATTTTTGTGCGTATACGTAATAATCAAAAATTATTATAATAATTAATGCATTTCAAGTATATATATTCGTAATACAAAAAAATTAAATATCTGCGTCAAACCCGAAAAAGAGTCGTTCAAATCTGAATTTTTTTTCTGACAAAAAAGCAGAGAGTAAAAATTAAGAAATTTTAAAAGTGCTTTCCTCTTTTTTTTGCTACAGAAAAAATCGTACTATAAAGAAAATCCATCGACTGCTTTACGTCTCTTTGATAATTTGTAAAAAGAATTATTTTTTAAGTGCCGAACTGTAAGAATGATGGTTAAAAAGGCATTTTAGCAAATAAAAACAGGTTTATACACTTTAGACTAGCAAAAATTACACTCAAAACCTTTTTTTTGAAAAAAGGATAGATTTCCGGATAGGGGATGTTTGAAATTTTTTCCGGATAAAGCCGTTAAAAAAAGGACAGATCTGTCCGGAAAGAGGACAAAATGGCAGCACTGCAGCAAATCGAGCGACAGCTCCACATTTTGTCAGCTCTGTCGGCGGAACCCTCTGATTTGGAACGACCTTGAGCCTTTGTGGGGAACACACTCCCTGCCCTCCTCAATTATCTAGATATACGCGTTATAAAGTGATCTAATGAATTTACTTTATGCGTGTTTCATTTGATGGTGATTGTCCGATAAACATTTTATTTCGCTTTTTATGACCCTAGCTGGCTGCCGTCCGTCGTTGTTGTTTGTTTTGAGTGAAAGTAATTTGTCGATTATATAGTTTTTTATTCTCTCAGTTTTGGTGCCTGTCGTCTATATCTATCTATCTCTGTGTGGCGACTGACACGCCTAGAAACTTGGCACGTCATGTGCTAAGAGCTTAAAAATCAGAGAGCCCAGTCCGCAGATTCTCTGACTCATGCGAGAAGAAAGTTTAAACAATGCTTTTGAGGTTGTTAATTCTTTGCCTTTCCCAAAGTCTCGAAAACTTGATGATCATGATGGACGTAAATATAGTTGTAGTCATCAGGGTTTTATGTTTGCCTTTATGCCCATAGCCACTTATTTAGTTGATCACTTTGCAGCAGGTGAGGAGAAATTTAAAATTGGGGCGTGGTTGAAGATGGCCCGGCCCTAAATTATCAAACTTGATTACGAACCGATTGTTTAATCATGGAAATATTTGGGATGGAGGCTTGGATAAGTGAATAAAATCTAGGGGATTGAGATTTTCCAACGATATGCAGCAAATTGCCCCATCTTCTTCTTTATCTTTGAACTGATCTCAAAGCAATGGACAAATTGTTTCTGCCTTATATAGTATGCAGTCCGGCACCAATCGATATCATTATTTATATCTCGTCGAGGATCACAGCAGTCGGCAATTCCAGGCCATTTACATGATCACCTGAAGAAGATGCACACGCCCATGGAATCGGAATGGGAATTGGAAGACGGGCACATTGACAGGCGGAATAAAGGCAATCTTCCATTTAATAACCAATTATCATTGATCAACTGCACGCCCAGTCTCCCCAGAGATCTTCTGTAGGAATACCAACAGACAGACCGAGAAACGAACTGACCACTGAGCAATATCAATTACGAATTACATCTGATTATCCGCCTCTGCCTGGGAATTGGCCAATGCCAATGCCAATGCCATTGCCATTGTCGCGACTCTCCAGATTCAGGCTTGAAGATCCCAGATCCTATAGCCAAGATCCCAGTACCCATATACCAACTCCCGCCTGGGGGCTGTGTGTGTCTGATTAGCGCATAAACAAGTTAATGCCATTGATGATGACGATGCTGAGCCACCTGAAACCGAAACAGAGACAGACGCCAAGTGCATTGCAATGGGCTGGACTTGCGGACTGGATGCGTACGTGGTGCGATGTTATTGTCTTCTGCCAGGGAATCCAGAATCAAAAAGATAAATGGGACAGGGGCTCCTTCAGATAAGACCAACTTCTGGCCTGTTTGGGAGTCTCGGTGCGTTGCCTTCAGTCGTCTTCTTCTGTTGACAACAACTGGCGCGGCGGCTTTACAAGCTTTTGATCTTGACAAAGTTTTAACCGCCGGCTAAAGCAAAAGCCTTCCCAGTTTTGTCGCTCTGTCGTCTTCCTAGAATATGTATCTCTATCTTCCCCTGTTTGCCCAACACTTTTCAAGGCGTACAAGGGGGTGGCAATATGCTAATGTTGTTTGGGTTTTCTTGGTTTTGGGCAGCCAAAAGTCAAACACTGTTTGTTGACGTTACCTTGAATTCAGTTTTCGTAGAGAAACAAGCAACACAAAGGCGAAGATGTCTTGGTAAACAGAGATGTTTTTGAGATACATATATGTCATGTGTTTAGAGCGGTCGGCACTTGACATCATAGTTAGGGTTCAATTGCTCTGGGTTTGAATGGGAATGATCGCCTTATTTACTTGCATAAATTGCAGTTTAATGGGAAAGAAATAGGGAGTATGTGGATTATTATGAAAAAGTTGTACTTATATTTGCCCTATATTTAGAGTCGTATTATTACAGAGAATGTTATTTTTTTAGTTACCCCGTTTAAAGATTCACCCGGATTAAGATAATCAAAAGGGTTTTCAATCATGAAAGAGAAATATGATTATTGTTTTTAAAATTCCGAAATGAAAAACTGACTAAAAAAACTTTATTTAAAGTCGTATTATTACAGAGATTGAGATAATCAAACTAGTTTTAAATTATAAAACAGAAACCAACAAAATACAGAAAACATAATATGATTATTGTTTTTAAAATTCCGAAATGAAAAACTGAGGATTACAAAATATCCATCTTTTGTAATGATAGTTCTAAGGATTAGAAAAGATCTGTAGTCTTTTGTAGTCTTCAGTTTTACCTACCTTAATCCTAATCCCAGTTCTCAGAACTAAAACATGTTAACTAAAGTAAACGTATACGATTTTTTAGAAGTTAGCTTAGTGTATTTAGGGAGTCACCCTGCCGAGAAGTCTGGGAATGATTTAATTCGTGGCCATTAACGTGGACAATTTTCTGTGGGAGAGTCTGTGCGACTTGTGTTGTGTGTGCTCCTATGCAAATGAGGGGACAATTATGCTGATCAGCGCTAATTGGGGGAAGGGAGCCGAAATGACCCACAGAGTGACTAACCCAGTTCCGTTTCCCATCTTTTCCATCTCATCCACAGGCGGCTGTCCGGCGACGACGAGCTCCCACTGCCTGCGCTGCAACAAGGCGGGCTGCATCAAGTGTCCCATGTACCTGGTGACGGACACGAGGCAGTGCGTCGACACCTGTCCCGCCGGCTACCTGGATCAGTGGTCAGCCCACACGGAGTTCATGGGCCGCGTTTGCGTGCCCACCGGCTATTCGGGACCACTGATGGCCGCTCTGGCGGGTCTCCTAGGTGGCTTCCTGGTCTGCCTATCCCTTCTGGCCGTCGCTGTGATGTTGGTCAAGCGGAAACGTCGGCGAAAGTCCATCAAACAGAAGCTGATCAACGAGAATACGATGGACAGGGCGGATTTCATGAGGCAGCTGAACGAGATGCGTCCGAATGCGGAGTATTTTCTGGCCATGTTGAATGATACAAGGCGGCAGATAAGGAAGCTCTATTTGTCGGGTGAAGTGGCGGCGGCCAATTCGTACAGACCTATTGTTAGGGATCTGGCCAAGCTGCTCATTCTGCTCAATCGACCCATTGAGCTGATTCCCGCCCCGCCGCCGGATTGGTCGAGATTATATACCTGGTCGGAGCAGGCTTTGGAGCGCTACAAGCCGCAGGTGGGCCAGCTGATTGACTTCTTCCAGGCGGGTCATCATCACCAGCACGAGGTGCTGTACGCTGCTCCAAATAAAAAGAAGCAACAGATGCAGCAGGCCAGCATCTTCCGGCAACAGGTGACGCCCACGGCGACACCTCAGGGAGTGGGTGAGCTCATGGCCGGCGATCGGAGTAGCAGTGCCTCCGCGCAGCAGAAGCTCCATCTCTTTGGCTCGCTGATCAGCCTGCACGAGTTCGAGGAGCCACGGGCCTCGGATCCCTTTGGCAGCAGCTTCAACACCCTGAAGAGCGGCAATCTCATCTCTGATCTCAACGCCAGTTCGCTTTGGCTGGAGGATGAGTTCTACAAGCTGGGCTTTCGACCGCAGGACGAGATCACCACGGAACTGTAACTCAGACTCGCAAACTTAATCTTAAAAGAAGTATTATCCCGGCTGGCGGCGCTAGGCGTTCGAGTCTAGTGCCTGTTTAGCTGGGAGAAAGGAGGCAGCATTCCGCCAGGCCATCATCAGCATCATGATCATCTTGAACTCATCATCGACCAGATCAGTTAAGCAAGCAAACTAGTCACGTAAAATCACAAACGAAAACCATCAACACACAAAACGATGCCGTGGATGAGAAGAAGTAGGAGGCAAATGCAAATCGCGTGGAAATGAATTTAGTTTTATGGATTTTACAAAAATCGCAACAATCATGTAACGAACAATATTCAATATACACACTATAGAGATACTATTCAGATAATAATTAAGTGGTTTAGCTGTAGACAAGCGATACTTATAGCTATAGCTTACGTAGACAGAGATTATAAAGCTTAGTGAATACGAAATGGATAATAAAATCGTGTGCCTTAAGAGTGTAAAATGTGTAGAGTGTGTAACAATTTGTATTATTAACCAGGCGCCGTCATCCGACCAAGTCAGCCAACGCTAAGGCTCCTCGTACTTCCAGAGTATGTCGGGTTCCTCCTCCTTGAGCTTCATGAGCTTCATCAGCAGCTCGCCATGTCATGTGTCTTCTTTCACGGTTGTTTCCAGGGGGACCACGGGCTCGGGCACCACCTTCCGCTCGTTGACCAGCCACGACAGCTCCTTGGCATCGTAGCCAATCAGCAGCTTTAGATCGCAGTCAAATTTGTAGGCGAATCGCTTGCCGGACACCTTGGAGATCATATCTCCATCGTAATAGTAGCGCAGCGCCCGCGAAAGCTTCTCGTAGTTCATGGCCGGCTTGTTCTTCTTCTCGCCCCACAGGCGCGCCACGCGATCCGGATCACTGAGCTTGAACTCGCCCTCGGTGCCCACCCACTCGATGATGTCCGTGTGCTCGCAGTCGGTGAGTATTTCGAGTAGGAACTGCCACAGCTGCACTTGTCCATTGTTGCCGGAACCAATGGTGGTGTAGTTGGTGGGGCTCATGGAAGTGGGTGAACTTTCAACGGCTGTTAAGACAGAGATCTCATTAGTTATAAGTTATAGGAGGTGTTCATCCATCTACTCACAATCGGAACCCTTGACTGTTTGGTAGGACTTCCGCATTATCCGCTGTTCCAAGGAAACCGAGCCCGATGTGGTCGTTATGGCAGTGGCTGACATAATCCTAGGTTGCTTGGGTTTCCTCAGCTCCTCCGCCTGTTTGTGCACCACGGACACAAAGTTGCACTCCTTCAGCAGCTGCAGATGCGTCCAAAATACATTGCCCGGATCACGGGGCAACTTCCGGCTGAAATCCTCGTGCGTCAGGGCGCACAATTCCTGGCCGTTGATCTGCCAGTCGCTCAGGTTGATGCCACGCAGCTCGAACTGCTTGATGGCCCACTCGAGCCAGTGCGTCACATGGGCCTGCGTCCATTCGATGGCCGCTTCGGGGATCTTCAGGCGGGCCTGTTCCCGCTTGAACTTGCTGTCGAGGACCCAGTTCAAGACGGGCTTGACATCCTTGCTGGATTCAACGGATTCCTCTTCGGAGTCCTCTTTTATTTTCCGTTTCACGGGCGTTTTGATGGGACTTTCGCTGGAGGAGCTCTTTTGGCTGGCCGTTTCGGGGGGCGAGAGCTGGGCTACCACCTCCTCGGCCAGAGCAGCCAGAGCGGCCTCCGTGGGCTTGAGTACGTCGGCAATATTGATGCGCTTGCGTATGGTTTGGATTTGCACGTTGATCTGGACGAGACCCTCGCCTTTGACGCACTGATCCACGAGGTTTTTGTGGGATTCCAGCTGGAAAAAGGGAATGTTGAGTAACCAAAAGGATCTATAATAGATCGCAACTCACCTCCTGTGCATCCTGCAACCAAAAGGTGTAGTAATTCAGGCACACGCCGATCTTTTGCTCAACAAGTGATCTGTTTTGGGTGAAAGTAAGGGTTATTTGCATGGGAAACATGAGGGTACTCCAAACCAGACTCACTTGAGCATGCTGAGCGGTTCCCGGATGTCCATGTGCACGATGATTATGTCATCCGGCTCAGCCTCCGTTTCCACATCGATGGATTCCTCGAAGATTTCGCTGGCAATCACCTCTTCTGCAAAAATTGTTTACAATTAAAAATCGTGGGTTACAACAGGTGCGTCCCAATTGGGATTTCCCGATTTCCCACTTACCCAGGGCGCCGCCAACACTGAAGCGACGTATTAGCTCGTCCGACAAGTCATTGCTGCTGTCCATCGTCGGTTTATTTCGTAAATAACTGCCAATAATTAGTTATTTTGGAATTTATTTATCTCGTGGATTTTATTGTTGCATTGCGTTATGACCGTTCACGGCGGGTGGGGAAATACTGAAAAAATAGTATGACCGCATTCGACCAGGGCTCCTTAGTCATTCGCCAGTGTTGCCACAAAGGTTTTGATTTTTAACAGTTTTGGCGGTTCTTTTGAAAATATTAAAAGATTAAATTAAATTTGGGATAATAATTTTAAAGATTTTAAAATAAAAAGTAATTGCAAGTAGCCCTTAGTTCAAAAATGCTTAAAATTAAGTGATAATTAAAGGAACAAATTCTAATAATGAGCAAATACAATTTATATAATTTCCTTTTATCTAAATATATTCATATGATTTTCAAATAGTATAATACTAAGATTTTTTTTCTGTGCAGAAATTAAATTCATCTAAAAATGCTCCCAAATTTAGTTCATCATGGGCTATTAATATTTTAAGCCTAACGACCCATAAAAATTAGCAATCTTTCGGGTGACAAAATATGTGGACGCCCCCTCAATTGATTTCCTAGAAAAGCAATCGAAATTAATTGAGGAATTCAATTCGCAACAATAAGTTGATACTCAAGACACCCACTTGAGGGTGAGTGGTTCCCTCTTCATTCGAGACATGGATATGTATTTTCGCCACTTTCTTTCGGTTTAAAGACTCAATTGGTAGACACAATTGGCAATGTTTGTGTGGCGGTATTGAGGAAGTACGTTCCATGCGTTCCCACTGCCAAGTGGAGTGGCAAGTGGTGCAAAGTGCTCCTCATCTTCTGGCAAATGCTGATTAAATGCCCCGTAACACGATCAGTGGGTCAAAACGGTGGGACAAAGAGTGCCAATTGTGTTATCTACTTGAATGGGAGGACAGCGGACAGAGGACAGCGCCAAGTGCACAGAGCACTTGTTAACACAAGCGATTTTCCATGTTCCATGTTCCGAGATATGTAGACAAAGTCGGGAGTTGGGAGAGCATTACCTCATTGTTGACTCAGTTGGCGTTGATGAACGATATTTGCTCGCTTGAATATATCGCTAAATATGTGGATGACATACCTAATTCGTATACCGCTAGAAGAAGTGATTCAATGTCTTCCAGAAAAGTTCCGATACAATATCATCCCCCTGCTAGCCTTGCAACTTCATTTCCCTTAGCTGCTTCCTCTCCCAAAACCAAAAAGCTAATAAACTAGAGTGCGGTTTCGCTTTGTTTGACGACAAACTGTGCTTTGTTTATTTACTAAGCAAGCTGTTGACTAATATTAGCCAGCTGGCCAAATTCAGGCGCTTCAGGTCAGTATTTTCGTTTTTTTTTTGTTGGTCTTTCCAGTAATTGAAGTTGAGTCATTCACTGTCACGGTCATTTCGTTTTAGGTAAGATATTAATAGATATGATAAATTAACTTTCTTATCCCGCTAAACCTTTACTGCTCATTGTATGCTAATGAGGGGTAATCTCATTACATGTTAAGTATACGTCGCATTGACCTTCCCCGGAGATCGAAATCTAGGCAGACCGAAAATTGTCTAGGTCATGACATCCCAGCTGCAGTGGGGATATAAACAGATATACGGATACAGAGAAAACCCAGCAATGACAACGTGGAAAACGAATAACATACACATAAAACTATGCGCAGTCATTGTGGCGCCTCCGACCACCGAAAAAAGGAAAATTCCATTATAGCCGGCTGCCAAAAAACAACCCCTTGGGGTTTTCCTCCTCTGGATTATTTGTCGGTCGAGCGTTCAACTCCACGAGAATTGCGTCACTGGATGGCTAGAACGGCTGGAATTAAATCAATAGGGACAACTCCCACGCGGAGCGGCTAAGTGGAGCACCAGAGCCCGGGACTCGGAGAATTTGCATTTCCGTGGCCCATACAGAATGGCCAGTATTTGGGTCGTCGAAGGATTGCCATTGCTGCAAGGACATTTCAAAGGCGGAAAGTCGGCTTTTCCGTTTTAGCATTTTTCGCTCTGCATTTCATAATTTTTGTTTTCTAATTAATTGGCTTTTTCCCAGTGAGTTATGGCGCTTTTTCGGTCTGCACCTTCGGTCGAAAATTAAGGCCAGGATATGAACTCGTTTGTGACCCGCTTTTTATTGGTTTTTCGAACAAGCCTGAATTATTTATTAGCCAGTTGAGGGCAGTGCAGTCACGTTATTGATGAAACCGCTTAAGTGGTTGGACAAGAAACAGGACATGGATATTGGCGCCTGAGAAATGGGCTGTAGGTTGTAAGCTTTTCATCACCTTTTGGCTATTTCCGATATTATAAATTTACCACTTCGGGGCGTGAGTCAGTCTTGGCTTTCGGACTCGAATTCATTAATATTCCGCGACTGTGTCACCATTGGTCAAAATATGGGAGGAAACACTTGTTTAGATGATTTGCGTATGATTCGGACAATTGATTTGAGTCATCAACACATGGTTTATCCGTTCAGATTTATTATCATATCTTATGTTTCTTATTAATATTTCTGTTTCATATTTTGTGAGGTGTGCATAATTAAAACGATCCATAAATAAATATCTTAAGTTCCGAAAACTTAAAATCATAGGACTTGTAGTCTTGAAAATTGAAAAGCTATTTATAGATATTATAAATAATAATATCTATTTGAATAGAAAAGTCATTTTTTTCTTTATTTATTACGTAATGATGTTAATTATATTTCTTGACTATTACAGTCCGAAATTTAGTTTATTTTTGAAACATATCTAATTTTATAGCCGTTTAATCAACTATAAAAAAAAATAAAAAAATTAAGAATTTAAAATTTAACTATTTTTATTATATTAGAAGAGCATGTAACTTTGGTCTTTGACAAATATTTTTCTCATTTTTTACGGTGTTTTCATTTTGTTCCAAAACGATTTTATTTATTAAGAGTGGTTTTTTTAAAGAAATTCTGAGGAATCACAAGCCATCCATAAATGTTAAAGTTCCTTTGAAGCTTAAAATTAGATTTTAGCACGGATGGTGACTTTAAAGTAACCAAATCCAGGCTTGGGAACTGTTGGAATGTCCAATTGGCCATATATTCTAACATAAGATTTAATATTTTAAAATTTATAAATAACCCAAGTGTACTTATTATTTTGACCAGACCAAACCCGACTTTTTACACAAATGTATTTTAGCATCAAATAGACAGGGTTTCCCTTATTCATTGCTTATTAAAATAGTTCACAACAGAATATCCTTCCAAAATAAAAAGGTTTGAGAGGTCTGGCCTCAATAATAACTATAACCTGTGTTTTAGGCAGTAGTTTATATTCTTTATCAGCATCACTAGCCAAGTCGATCTAGCCATGTCCGTCCGTCCATCCGTTTGTCCATCCGTTTCTACGCAAACTAGTCTCATTTTGGACTCAAGACAAGTTTTGGACAATTAACAGCAAGAAAACACTACAAAAAAATTAATAAAATCTAAAAATATTTAACAAAATGTTACAATTATTTCTTTAAGTGTGTTTGTGCCGGCAGATGTTGGATCTCGAACTCGAACAAGTTCGTTGGCGGCCCGGTGGTTAATTCGGATTTATTTCAATATTGAACGACAGTCGTGCGGCGCACGACAGCGAAACGTGAAGTGCAATCAAAACGTAAAGTGCAATCAAAACGTAAAGTGCAATCAAACGTAAGAGTCGTGAAACCGACGGCGCGATTGAAAGGCGGTATCGTTATTTCGAGGTGCGCGTGAAACCGAAATTTGTTAATAAATAAAAGTGCGGAACGCTCGCGAGTTTGAGTTTTGTTTTTGGCCAAAAGCGATTGCTATAACGCTTATTTGATTAAGTACGCAAGTTTCGTTATTTTTTCTTGTTATCTCTGCGAGTGCGTGTGTGGTTTTTGTGCTTTTGTTGCTGTTTTTGAGTGGGCGGAATTTTGTCCGTGGGCGTTTGTTTGCCATTTAGAACACCATTTCGGCGTTGGCTGAAAACTAGTTAGCCAGACATAAAAAAATACAAACAGACACTCTGCTATTAAAAATTCCATTTCATTCATAGGCAAAATTTCTAAACAAAAGACCGGCAAAAGCTAAATATAAAATATGTAACAGAAATAAATGCGTGACATTGCCCCTGGCGGCCGAGCAACAAAAGCTAAACAACAAAATCTAGGCGGTTTCCATCGATTTGCATTCGTTTTCCCTTCGCTCTAATCAAAATCGAAAAAAGCACACACGCACTCACAAATGCACGCTATCAACAATCAAAGTGTAACGGGCATTGTAAAGTTTCGTAAAACAAGCCAAACGGAATCGAAAAAAAATTAATATTAAAATTTCTTGTTTCATTTTGGAAAACAGCTTGAAAAAAATCCCAAAAAAAATACATATAAAGAAAGCCCTACAATTTTGTTGTGCCAGACAAGTGGAAAAATCAAACGAGGTGAGTTTGGCAATCGTTTAAATTGATTTTTGATTTGGGCACGGGAACGGGAATCTGAATCGGAATGGGGATCCCGAAATGACACGGGCAATTATTGATTTTGCTGGGCAAACGTGTCCTTCGGCCGAATGCAATGCCGGTTCCGAGTTGCTCCACAGCAGCTGAAATTCCCAAGGACGCTGCCAGCTGCAGTGCTTGAACTTTTCACCTCCCTAAAGAAAACTCTCCCACTCCGAACAGCTGGGAAAATTCTCTCGCTGGCTTCGCCGGCAGCATTTTCCGCCTTTCCATGTTGCAATCGTTGCTCTCGTGAGTTTTCAATTTCAGTGCAACGCCGAACAAGTGGCAGCAGCACTCTTAGCCGGCGCTTAAAAGCGGCACGTGGGTGGCTCTTCGGTGGTTCTTTTGGTGCCCCAAGTGGTGTGGGTGGCCAGACCTGCACCACCATTGGGTACGAGAGCCATTTCGGCTCCCATCGAGCACCACTTGTTTGTCCATTCGGCGTGGGTCCATTTCTACACAGAAATTTCATTGTAAACTTTTTATTAAATAAAAATGTTCTGTAAAATATTCTACTTATTTTTTTTTATTGATTTTTAACAAAAATATATAATTTTCCTGTTATGGAAAATAGTGAAAAA